TTTTAGTTTAAATTTCTGATACATAAAGATTATACATATTAATGAGGTAATGTGACATTTGGATACCTGTATATAGTACAATGTTTAAATTAGTTTCTATCAAAATTTTTTTTGGGGGGTAGTAGGGATTGAACCCAGGGGTGTTTTACCACTGAGCTACATCCTCAACCCTTTTTATTTTTTATTTTGAGACAAAATCTTGCTAAGTTGCTGAGGCTTGCCTCAAACTTCTGGACCTCCTGCTTCAATTTCCCAAATTTCATGCCTGGCTCCAATATATATAATTTAAATTCCCCTATTTCTTTTCTTTTCTTTTTTTAGTTGTTGATGGACCTTGATTTTTTAAAAATTTATTTATACATAGAGCTGAAGATCAAACCCAGGGCCTTACACATTCGAGACAAGCGCTCTACCACTGAGCCACAACCCCAGCCCTCCATGAAATATTTTTAAGTGAGAAAACTAGAGCTCTTGCCTAGAGATTAAACCTTGTGAACTTCCAGATATTTGATCAGTTTTGATATACAAAAATTGCAATTTTATATGACTCATTAAAACTTAACCCCAGTGGTGTATAAAAATATACTCTGTGCATTCTCAATTGGAATAACTGTCATACTTCTAATTTTTGCCATTTGGGAACAATGTAGTACCTTATTATTATTTTTAATTTGTATGTTTGACTATCTTTTCTTTTGCTTGGTGACCATTTGCATTTCTGTTCCATGAATTATCTAATTATATCATTTGCCTCTTTTCCACTCAAGTAATTTTTTTCTCCCCTTTATCCCTTTCCCCTTTAACATAGCTAAAGCTGACCTGAGATTAGTAGTCAATGACTATGAGTGTCCCAGCGTTATTAGTACTGGATGTTTCAGTTTAATTACTATTTTATATGTCTTAAAAATTACAGGGTGATTTAGTTTTGCAGTGAAAAATTATCATCATGTACATAATAAGTCACAAAGCAATACAGCCTGACACGTGATAAAAATTTGTGCCTCAAAAATATCCAAAATAACTCTTTCATTAAGTATAAAATAAAAATCTAATTATAAAAAAGCATTATGTGTCAATTTAAGCATTTTTCTTTATTAATGGTACAGAAAATAATGGTGTATCTTAAAATAAATATTGGTTTAGATTCATACAGATATAGATTTTTTTGTCATTGGCTTACAATTTTTTCCAGATGCATCAACTGTATAGTAAATTTTTTTAGGCATCTTTTTGCCTACAAAGACTTTACTTTTTTTTTTTTTACTTTACATTCTTATATAGTCAAATACAGTCACTAGGTTGTCAGACTTTCTTTTTGTATCTAAAAGCATCTCACCCACTGTTAGATTATATATGTTCTCTTTCATATTTACAAAAGATTTTTGTTCCATTTTTGCATATGAGGATTTGATCCAACTGGAATTATTTCTGAATATGATTAAAGATGGTAACTCACTTTTGTTTTCTTCCAGATTGAGAAATACTAAAATTCTGTAACCTTTGGTTATTAAACAGTTTCTTACTGAATGGAGCTGCCATCTCTGTTAGTAAATTCTCACATATAATCATATCTATTTTTGGATTCCTTAGTGTGTTCCATTAGTTGGTCATTACTCTTACCAGATATAGAGGCTTTTTAGTATGTTGTAATATCTGGTATGGCAAGTCCCATACCACTATTTTTTAAAATATTTTTATCATTTTAGTTATAGTTGGACACAATACCTTTATTTCACTTATTTTATTTTATTTTTTATATGGTGCTGAGGATCAAACCCAGGGTCTTCCAAGGGCGAGGCGAGTGCTTTAATGCTGAGCCACAACCCCAGCCCCATCCCATACCACTATTTTTTCCTTTCCTTTTCTTGTCTCT